TCATAATTTTTTTTTGATTTTGTAACTCCCAATTAATTATATGGGAGTTACATAAATTTTTTTTTTTACTTAAATACCTTTTTCAACTTTGTTCACTTATCTTTATAAAATTTTAAATTTTAAAAAATAAGTTTTTATCATGATTAATCACAATCGTTTATTAAAAGATTGAATGACCAAGATCGGTTAACAAAGTTAACACAAAAACTTTGGTTAACATTTAATCTTGGCCCTATATATATATATATATATATATATATATAAACAACTAATTAATTTGTGGTAACTATGAGATTTAATATGAACTATTCATTTGAGATATTTAAGGATATTTTTTAAATAAACTAAAAAAGTAATATATTAAATTCTATTTTTTACAACTAATCACAATATTTAATTAAACATTTTAAAAGAAAATATTTAATTAAAATTAATTACCTAGTATATCAATTACCAAATATACATCATATTTTAAAAACATTGTGAATCAAAGTGTATCATAGTGATAACGTTCACAATGTTCCACCTCTATCATAATGTATTTTCTTTGTTTTATGAAATTTATCATAGTGTGCATTTTCGTTATTGTCATTGTGTTACATTGTGCATCTTGTATGTATATATGGGTATCACAGCGAATATTGTTTGTAGGTATCAGATCGTGTATTTTGTGTTCACATAATGTTCATCGGAATAAGATTCGTCGAAGAGAGAAAAGATGAGAGATGAGAGAGGATATTTATAAAATATCTAAAATGTCCTTAATTAATATTTTAAGTTAAGATTATCAAAATTATTAATTTCCTAATTTAACCTTTGATTTGTGGTTGAGATTGGATCTCACGGTTACCACACACAAAACAGTTCTCATTTGATTAGTCTCTTACATATATATACATAGACGTGAGATCACATAAACCAGTTTGTTTTCATGAGACCTGTGAAACCACTTTTTTATACTTGAAATTTCACATCAAAATACTGTGAAGTAACTTTCACAATATTTTTGTTGTGAATGTTCGGCTTTTTTTACCTTCACAGCGTTTTATTATAAATTTCAAGTATAAAAAAGTGGTCTTACATGAACCCAACCATACATATATATATATATATATATATATATATATATATATATGAGATAAAAATGATATATAATTTA